TTTATTATATTTCTTATTTTAGTTTCTAACTCTCCTTTCTAGATCTAATTTCTCCGTTTTGAGAACTTGAGTCACATATGACTCTATCGTTCGCCAACTCTCTGGGTTCGCTTTCAACTTTTCCACTATATTTTTCGGATTTTTAGGTCCAATCTGCGCTATTACTCTTCTCTATTTGTGAGCCACCTATTACAGTAAAAGGCGTGCTCTGCGTCGGCATAGTCTCCATCGCCATATATGCAGTCGGGCAAATTCATTTTTCCCATGCGGTACAGGTACTTACAAAAGTAACCATGTCCGGTCAGCATCTGAGTGAGATAGTAATTTGTGTCTCCCGATTTCCGTTTGAGCCAAGTGAATATATTTGGTATCAATCTAGCTGTTCATCTTCCTTGTGTGCTATTGTTCCATCTTTGTTGCCACATTTCGATGGTTTGGTCCTGATCTTGTCTTGCCATTTGTTGAGTATAGTCACCGTTTGTTTTCCTGTTGTATACTCTTTGGCGCTCCTTTGCTTGAAGATCAATTGGAGTTACACCTGCTATTACAAAAACTGCTTCCGCCAGGACAGTGCGATACGCTGATGTGATACGTAGAGCTGCCCTTCTATGCACCGCTATTATTTCTTTTCTACGCGTTTCGATATCTAGTGCATCTGCCCACACTTCGCTACTATATGGAAGAATTGCGTTTACTGTTGTCATTAACAATTTCCTTTTTTTCGCGACGGGTCCTCCTGTGTTAGCCATTAGTTTACTTAAGGCAGCAGTGGCCTTCGCTGCTTTCTCTACCGCATACTTTATTTGCACCCAAAACGTAAGTTTCCCATCTAATCTCATTCCAAGGTAGTTAATCGTTTTTTGGGTCCTCAGCACATTATTATTTACTCGCATTTCTATTTCTGTATTTACATGCTTACGAGTTAACAGTAATATCTCCGTTTTATGAGTAGCCATGCGTGCTTAACCAGTCCTGTACTCTCAACATCACTTGTGTGAGTTTTCTTTGAACTATTTGGGTATCACGGCCGGAAATAATTGCTGCCAAATCATCTGCGTAAGCTACTAAAAAGGTATGTTGAGGCATCTTTATTTGCAAAATGTCATTATAAGTGATGTTTCATAATTCAGGTCCCTAGGTTGATCCTTGCGTTGCTCCAGCCGTTATTTGTACCGTTTTTAAACCATATTTTGTTGAATATATTAATTGTTGGTTTGTTAAGTAGCTTTTAATTATTCTGCTTATATAAACGGGTACTTGGAAGCGATTTTCTACCGCCTGTATGACGTCTTTCCATCTGAGACTATTAAAGGCATTTTTGATGTCTAAGGTGGCAAGAAATACTACTGGTCTTGAGTATCACATTGGGTTACTTTTGCGATCGAGATAACCTCAGTGATGGCTCCTATTGTGAATCTTTTGGCTCTGAAGCCATATTATTTAGAGCTGAGTCCACCAGATGCTTCTACTGGGAATTTTAGTCTAGACTTTATCAGCTTTTCATAGAGTTTTCTTGCGGTATCTAGCAAACACAGTGGTCTAAATGCTGCTGCAGTATCTCTGTTTCCCTTGCCTTTGTCGATAAGCACTAATCGCTGCCTTTTCCATATATCTGGGAAAATTCCCTCTCTAAGACATGCATTGTACATTGTCAGTAATAATTGAGGCTTATTTTCCGCAATTATTTTTAAAACTTCGTTTGGTACCCCAACCGGTCCAGGTGCTTTATTATTTTGTAGTTCTTTAGGCGTGATCGTTAGTTCTCTTTCCCTGAAGTTGTCAATATTTTCCAGTTGAACTTGTGCGACATTTTCGTCACTCCTTATATCGTAGTTTGGGAACAGGGTATTAACAATTTCGTTCATTTTCCTTTCTTCTAAATCACTTACTGGTGATTTTATTCCAAATTTCTTCATGACTATTTTGTATCCAAGGCCCCATGGATTATGATTTATGTCCTTTCGAAGTTCCTCCCATTTTCTTCGTTGTGTTAATCGCTTTTTTTAGGTTCTTTTTGGCTTAGATATATTCTCGACCTTCTGCCTCACAGGATCCATTTTGTCTACCTCTCGTGTAGCGTCTTCGTGTACGTAGACATGCATTTCGCAGTTAACTTATTTCTTCTGCTCACCAAGAAGCGCCCTTTTTACCTTTCTTTTGGGTAGTTTTTGGCATTGATATCGCACATGCCTGTGTAATTCTTATCATTGTATGTCTCACCATTTCTTCGGCGTTTGCCATATGCGTGGGAAGTGCGGCATCAATTGCTTCTTATAGGCTTCTTGTTTCTAGTTTCGCCACCTTCCATTTGTAGGTTCCTCTTGTGCTTCGATCATTACCCGAAATTGTCTCGGTCTGTACACAATACGACAGATATTCGTGGTCACTTCCTGTGTATTCTTCTAAGACTCTCCATTGGTTAAGCTTACTAGCTTTCCGATGTAAGTGTGATATCTGGTATAGTACCTTGACATCCTTCTTTTCTGAAAGTTGGGGTCGTACCTGTATTTGCGATCATTTGCGACCTTTTTTTTATTTATGTTACATAAGTGCATGTTATCAATTACCATAAGATGTGAAATGGTAGTTTTTCACCTATGTAGTACTAAATAAATATTAACACAAAAATAATCTTGGATTGTGAGTATCAAGACAAGAAGGCATCGATAGACATACTTCCACATTTGGCGATGAAGCTTCATCCTTTGCCACTGTGAAACGTAAGTACAATGATTTTCATGGTGACCGCAGTTCGCCCACTGACGAATTTTGTAAAGGTCGTCTAAAATCAGTTGAAACATTAATCCTGTGCAAAAACTGATAATGCAAGATCGTCATGAAATATAATATGATCATATACCAGCATATAAAATATTTCTCGATCATTTAGCCGTCAGAATAGTTTGTTCTCGTTGGATACCATCCCCTATCAGTAGACAAAATCTCGAAAATATGCTCTCGTGCCGTTTGGTGCTCACAAATGCTTAAGAAGTACAATGGCGATGCCTTAAAAGACGTATATAATATTGTAACAGCTGATATTGTAACCGACTATTTGAACATTCAAGAAATCGAATTGATAGATCATCCGCCAGATTTACGTACAGTCCTGATATAGCACTCAATGACTTCTTCTTGTTCCTGAACGTCAATAACAAATTGCGTAGATAACGATTTTTGTCGGCGGAAGAAGCCGTTGTTGAATTTAGAAACAATGTTTTGGAAATGTCTGAAGAAGATTGGAAGAAATGCTTCGACAAATTGTTCGAACGCATGCAAAAGTGTATTAATCATAACCAAATAAATTGATTGTAACCTGGTTTTAGTTCGAATTCTAAAAGCAACTGGGCAGGAATTCAATGTTATGTTAAGAACATCTTGAAAGAAAAATTATAGAGATATAATTTCAGTGTGTACTCTATATTAACAGCAATATTGATTGCAGGTCGATTAGGCAGGTCGAGGCCTGACGCCGGATGGCTGAGCTAGAATCGACATAAAGTATTTACACATAAATCAATCGCAATTTTTATATACTGCTGTTTTTGAACTTCTGATACGGGATTCAATTACTTAATTATGCCAATATGCGCGGTGCTGGCACACTTAAATGAGCCACTATATAAAGCTTTGTTAACATCTGTTTGAAATTTGCAGAACTGAATGGTCGCGCTGGGGCGCATAGTTTAAATGTTGAGTAGCACTTCATGGTCGTAGACGGCAATCATTTAACGGTCTTAAGTACTGCACATAAATTTCCCTGGTCTATTTTGGAAAAAAAGGCACGACTTCTTTCATTGCAACACAATAGAGAAACTACGGATGGTTTCTAACTTGCTTTCAAGAGGACTAAACATCAACTAAATCAAATATACATTTAGCGAAATCCACCGCAAGAGTTACGTGCCTAATTTAATCTCAGCCATTGAGGTGTTCATGCTAAGAATTTCACGTGTACTGACATTAGTAAAAGAGTTGGCTTTTAAACTAATAATAAAATACTAGCAGATTAGACATGCTACGAGTTGTGTTCAATAATAATAATGTCAGAGTACATACATCGTTGATGCATAACAAAGAATTGACGTAACTAGCTTGAAAAATTTTGACACATCCACCGTATAGCGTGGAAATTGCATCTTCGAACTGTCTTTTCTTTCGGTTCTGCAAAACTCTCTTAATGGAAAAAAATTGCTAGAAAAGCCATCAAAAAAATACTTGTTCAAGCTTTTCGCCGATACTGATGCGAATTGTGACTGAACAACAAATAAATGTTGTGATCTTCTGTAAACAATACCATTTTTTCTTTTTGGGGAAAGGAGTGGCATATCTACGCACTGACCACGATCCGGTGCCCCGGAGAAAGTGAGTGTCTGACCCGCACGGACTAAACCACTTCCCCTCATTCCTAGAGACCTTGTCCTACCCCGGGACTACGTTAGTATTACTTCGAGGTAGGGTCTCTATTGGTCATTTAAGACTTTCATCGGTGTGACCTACATCCAGATCCCGCTACTGCTGCATATGATTAACCTTGCCCTTTATCTTGATGTGATACATCTGTTTACTCCAGCTGTCTTGGGGTCAATAGTTACTTTTTACAATCTCAGGATCTTTTCAGCAAATATTTTTACGCGATCCCAGCTTGTTTTGTTTTCGGTCATTTTTTCTGTCACCGTCCTTGGAGAGAAAATACCAACCTGCGCTGCTAGTGCTTCTCGTTCAGGGGACCACTTATTGTACAGAACTCAAAGAGTTCTGTGGTATCGTCCTCAGCTCCGCAATATATGCAATTTGGTGACTCTACTTTGCGCATGCAAAGGTAGCTGTTAAAATATCCACGTCCAGACAGGAACTGAGTGAGATAGTAGTTAACCTCGCCGATATCTCTTGCTAGCCCGTTTTTTAGATCTGGGATAAATCTTGCGGTCCATCACCCATACTGCAATGATTCTGTTGTTTCTCATGTGTTTTGCCTGCCAACATGCTTTTCGCTCTTGAGCCTGTAGGTCAATGGGAATATCACCACTAATCACGAGTATCGCTGCTTCTGAAACGGTGTGGTACGCTGAAGATATCCTCAGAGCTGCTGTTCTTTGCACTGACACTTACGCTTTTCTGCGGTATTTCTGCGAAATCCCAAATATTCCACTGTTTTCTGCGACATTATAGTTTTGTCACTTACTCGCAGCTCGACTCCTAGCTGCATGTGCTTTTTTGTGAGAAATATCAGCTCTGTTTTCTCCGCGACGAGTTTGATTCTGTGGTCATCCAACCATGCCTGTGTTCGTATCATTACCATGTTGAGCTTCTTCTGCATTTCTTGCCTTTATCACTGCGGCTACGTCATCTGCAAATGCCACCAAATGCGTATCATCCGGCAAGTGGCTAAATATTTGATATCATACCTTTAAAGTCAGCAACAGATCGTCAGCAATTGATATCACCTTTACCAGCAATATTGAATTAACGAAGTAATAAAGAACAATTCTACACACAAACTAACTACAGAGAACTGAAGAACATAGAACTAGACGAATAGTGACCACAGCGATGCTTTGATGTGACCATGAGCGAAATACAGAGCGACTAAGTGATTTCGTCCACAATTTGATTTCAATTAAATTTTTAGATTGCAGCTGATCAAAAAACTGCGAATTGCAGTGATAATTAGTAGTATTTAGAATTTTTGAATACTTTAATAAATATTATTCCTTTTATTTGGATTGTAAAAAATTTTTATTAAAGTCGATTTAATTAATGTTTTTATTATTTACAGTGTCGAAATCAAGCCAGATGAAGAATATAAATTCATATGCAATAGTCAGACAGAATTTTT